TCTCTCTCTCTCTCTCTCTCTCTCTTTCCAATCACTCACTCACTTTCACATTCACCCACTTTCACAGCCCATAACAATGCTAACCATACCCTCTGTGGCGCTGGGATGGGAGATATTGATGGGCACAGGTATGTATGGTATGGCATAGCTATACAGACACTGGTATTAAGTTATTACCGTTTGTTATAATAATTAAGTGAAAGCAAAAAACTTGTTTTTCTTATGAATTCATATTTTTTGTTCAAAGATATACACAAAAGGCATTAAATTATATTCAGTGTGTGAATCATTAATGTAAAATATATACAATCACATACTGTATATATAGTGTACAAATAGCATCGGGTGTTTACTATAAGCACATCCCAGTTCTGTGGTGTTAGTGAAAAAAATAAGGTAAAAGTGATTTACTTTTTTTGTAAAAAGTTAATTAAGTAATTTTTTGTATGATTTAAAATCACTATAAATATACCCGTGATTTGTATACAACTATTCATTACTATCATTGCTATCGGTGCCAATCGGACATACAGTCAATTAATCTTGAATTAAAAGTTTTTATCATCTTATTTTTTCGTGATTTGAATTTTAAATAAAATAAAAAACAGTTTTAATTTTTATTACTTTTTGTTTATTGTGTTTATCGTAAGTGAAATACCGTTTTGTTTGTTTGTGTTGTTGTGTCTGTCATTATAATCGCAACAAAATATTTATTTAAAACTTAATAAAAGTTTTTCAAATTATTTTATTACCAAACGTTTTAATAATATTTAAAATATTTAATTTTATTTCAGTTCTAGTTATTGGCGTTTGAGATCATACATCGCATACATTATGAAATTAATCGTAAGTATACTAAAATTAAATAAACTATTAAAAATAAAATTGTTGAAACTTTGAGCATGTATAAATATGCATGAATATAAATACTCTAAATAACTTATATCTATATATTTTATTTAAAATAAAGTTTTTGTTTTGATAAAGGGGGTGGGGAGTAATTTATAAATCACAATTTTCATACTGAATTGTATTTTTAAAAATTATAAAATAACGTTATTATGTATAAGCTCGGTTAAAAATAAGTATTTGATAGTCATCGTAAAAATTAATTATTCTATCACAGTAACATCTAATCCAATTTTTATTCATGTTTAAACTATTTTTGGCATATTTTTACTTTTAATATTTTGTTACAGCTATTATATAAAAATAAAATACTTATATTTAATTAATAATATACTGGATATAACTTTTAACGAACAGATTTTAAGCGCATTTATTGTATGCGTTTTGGGAGCCATTGACGATAAATCAGGGCATAAATCCGACAAATTGACCGAGGACGAAATACTAGCCATACCCACATCCTATGACTTTAAATACTCGACGGGTAGGGAAGGGCCGGCACAGCTGTTCCGGGAGGAGCACCGGGACCACGACGGCACCGTACGGGGCAAATACGGTTACGTCGACCCGAACGGCAAACTCAGGTAATAACACATCACAAACCCTAAGCCATAACACAATAAACATAACACACGCATACCATAGGGTGGTTGAGTACACGGCCGGCGCCCAGGGATATGTGGTGAGCGGCGATGTGGGACCCGACCCGGCCGTACAGAGCGAGGCTCAGGCCCAACAGCGGGACGACCCGTCCGTCCGGGCACAGGTCAACGCCTGGAGTCGGGCCAATACGGGTCCGGTGGCCGCCAATAATAACCAATGGAATGGGGGCTGGAGTTCGGTGGACCCCCTCTGGAACGCCGGCGCTCTACCGCAGGCACCGGCTGGCGCTGCGCCGGCACAGGTCGAGCCCTATAGAGGCCAACCGCATAGTCGAGCCAAACCAACGCCGAGACCCGCCCGGAGGGGCCAGTCGTCGGACAGGGTGTGGGACGATAGGGCCACTCAGACCGCGTGGGACAACAGTAACGGCCAGAGTTGGCCAAAGACCGAGTCGGGCAATAGCGGCGGCGGTATTGGCTCTGGGGTTGGGACGGGAATAGCCGGCGGCGGGTCTGTCGACTGGAACACGTGGAACGCCGACCAACAGTCGTGGTCTAAACCACAACCGCAAAGTGGCCGCGCGTCCAGCGGTGGTCAGTCCGGGGGTCAGTCGTGGACGTCGAGTGTTAACCACGATTGGCAACAGAGCGGTCAGAGTAGACAATCCGCGGCTCCTGTAGGTCAGCAACAGTGGGGTCAACCACAACAACAACAACCGCAGTCACAATCAGCGCCCGCACCGGGAGCTGACCAATGGAGCCCTCCATCCGATGGCCCGACAGCCGGCCAGTGGTCACAACTGCCGCAAAACCCGACCGCTGGACAGTTCACTCAGTTTCGCGATAATAATAATCAACGGCCGGCGATAGGAATCGGCGGTATTCATCAGATCCCGGGTCCCGCACAGTGGCCACAGACTACCGGTGGTAACGATATTTCGAGATCGGGACAGAACCCAACGCCAGGCGCTCAGCAGTGGTCCGGTGGTATACAAAGCGAGAATCAGTACCAAAGCCAACCGATCCAATGGGGACAGCCCTCCAGGACTGACCAGTGGTCACCGACACAGGCGGCTCCACAACAACAGCCTCTGAGTGGCCAGTGGTCACCGGCTGCCCCACAACAACAGCCCCAGACTGGCCAGTGGTCGGCACCGGCATCAGCCCCACCTCCGATATCCATAGCAGATCAATGGGCCCAACGATCACAGCAAAAGGCACCTCAACAATGGTCTAACACAGGTCTGGCCCCTCCCCGTCCGGCCCCCGCCGGTGGCCAGAGTTGGCAAAATGCTGTTCAACACCCATCCGCGGGTCAGACCGTTCAGGCCGGCCATCACTGGCCCCCGCAGTCACCGGCAGCCAAAGCGGCCCGTCTGGGCGACTTGGGTCAACCCAACCAACCCCTGCCACAACCGCAACAAGGTTTACAGCCATCAGGAGCTCAGTCCCCGCCCGTACCTCCCTTTCCCGGTGAAGCCCCGTCCGCTTGGCCTCAGTCGCCGCCCCCTCAGAGCCCGAGTCAGTTCGATAGCGCGGCTTATCAGCCGAGTGTAGGACATCAACAGCAGCCGCAACAGGCGTGGGGTAACACCGGCACAGCTCAGGGTACCGGTGCTGGCGATCCCTTCGGCGCCTCACCCTATGTTCACTTTCGTATCGACCATACGGTAGACCAAAACCAACCGCCCCTACGATACCAGTACTCCTATTAATGAGTTTTAATTGTGTTTTATTTTGATAACAATTTTTAATTTTATGATTTTTTTGTAATTAATTTTTTGTTGTATGAAATCTCATGACTTTCTATAGCTATTAATTATTTAATGTTTTTTTCGCTTTTAAAACAAGAAAACCTATTATTTGTTGTTTCAAGTTATCAGTGAATGAGAGGGAGATTATTAATGAATGTAAAATTTATTGTTTTTGATATTTCATGGTAACCTCAATAGTTCAGTGTCAGTTTAATCTGCTCTCTCGCAGTCTCTCTCTCTCTCTCTCTCTCTCTCTTATTATTACATAAACATACAGTTAATTATAAATTCAATGCAAACCATGACTTAATTGTCATTGAATTTATTTTTCTAAACACTTTTGAATACAAAAATTTTATTCATATATGAAATGCACTGAAGTTTTGAAATACAGTATATTTCCAGCGATTTTCCGGAGAAATGATATGAAAATAAATTCAGTTTTAATGTTAAATCGATTAGTTATGGCTTTTAATATAATACCAGACATTCATTATGCCTGTTTAGTCTATGAAACATCACGATAAGTCAATAAAATTACCATTTTTGTTTATCCCAATTATCCGTATTAACTAATCTCTCACTATAATTATATTTATACAAATATTACAGCTATATATTTAATGATATACTTTTTGTATTACTTTCTGACCCATTAAATCAAAAATAATTTAATATTAAATTATAGTTATAATCATTAACATTTTGATATTACACATATAATTGTTTAGCAGATAATAAACCTTGTTTTATTAAAAATATGTTTAAAAATATTTCACAAATATATGTAAAATATTAGTTATTCATTGATATAAGTTATCAAAAGCTATATAATAGCTATCAATCCATCAATTTATTATAACTACAATTAAAATAAAACAATAAACATATTTCTTATAACAAATTCCTTCACTAAAACAATCAAACAAATAAAACAAACAAATAATAAAACTTTTGTTGATTTTTATGATTTTATTGATATTTGAATTGAATTTTTTTTCAAAAATAGTTAACATAATGTGTTTTTGTGGCAAATGATTGACATTTTTATAGATAGGAAGAGATCGTAAGCTTAAGCATATTTAATGAATTCATAAATCAATTAAACAACTGATGAGAGAGATATTAGTTAATACGGATAATTGGGATAAACAAAAATGGTA